TATACAAATTAAGAAACAAAAGGGATACGCCGAATTTGGCAAGGGAATAAAGACAATAACGGTTAATCGGCCAAAACTGTTAGTATAACGGGATCATGTTTGCAACCGTCAAAAAAAAATAACGTGGTAACAAATTCCTTCCCTTAGTTTCCGAGCTCCTGCGAGGATCGATCGGGTTCGGAATCACCTTTCTCAGATCACAGATGATATAATTTGAGACAAATGCCGTGGACTTTTTGCTTGATTACCTTATCGTCCATCGTTCTCAGTTTGTAGACACCATTTCCTAGGATGTCATGAATATAGAAAGGACCTTCCCATTTCTCACCTAGCTTTTCTTTATGGGTCCCCTCAAGTTGGGATTTGTAACGAAGGACTTGCTCCCCTATAGTATAGCTCTGAAGGGTGAAGCGCGAATCATGACGGGCCTTTTGTAGTTGTTGAGATTTTTTTATTTGAGCTTGAGCTTTAGTATGGGCTTCTGGGATGTCTCCTAAAAGGACCTGAACATGTCGAAGAATATTTTCTTGTAGTTCCGTTTCAGTGGAAGGAGGAATTTCCGGTACTAGGAGTCTAACTTCATTGGGAAGAAGAGCGTCTCTTCTATACATCAAGAAAAAAGGCTCATACGGGTGGTGGAATGTTTTGTGGTGCGGTATGCAAACAAAGCTGGGGGAATATATCGATCCCAGTCACCTTTAAATTGTAGGACGCATTTCGACAACACTTCACAAAGGGTCCTATTGAAGCATTCTACGAGACCATTAGTTTGGAGATGGAAAGTAGAGGAATACCGATAATGGACCCTCAGCTGGTTACAGATAGTGTCAATTAAAACATTGTCGAAATGCTTGCCCTGGTCTGACAATAATACCCGAGGACATCCGTGTCGGCATATAATGTCCTCAATAATGAAGAACGCGACTGACAAAGCACTGGTATCAGGAATGGCTCTAGCTTCAGGCCACTTCGTAAGATACTCAGTTGCTACAACAATATAATTGTTACCGCTTCTTGTAGGTACCAAAGGCCCTACAAGGTCGATTCCGATCCTGTCAAACGGCAATCCAACCTTGATAGGATACAGGGGTTCATGTGTTCGGGGTCTTCCTTTTCTCTGGCAGACGTCACATGACTGGATGTATTTCTTTACGTCCTCTCCCATCTGGGGCCAAAAATACCGTTGTGTAATTCGCTGAAAAGTGGAAAAACTGTTAAAGTATCCTGAAAGGAGGTCGGAGTGCATGCTGAAAAGGATGGCAGGAACCTCAGGCCGTTGAACAACACGTAGAAGTTTGTGGGGTGGTTTTCAATATTTTTTATATAATATATCGTTGACGAGGGTATAATGTCTTGTTTGTTGTTTTAGTTTTGCTAATTGTAACGAATCACAATGCAGAGGGATTGAGTTTTTGAGGTATTGTAGAAACAGTTGATATTGCGCAGGATCCATAACGAACAATTTAATAAATTTAGCTATTTTAATGTATATATGATGATAGAAAAAGTGATAAAGTTGTATAATAATAAAACTGGGTGTTATTAGAAATAGTCAAAAATCGGCAGGCTTTGTAGTAGAAGATTCAGCAATACAGGATAAACTGTCAGCGTTAGAATGAGATTTTCCGGCATGGTGAATGATGGTGAAGGTATATTCCTGCAGGGCCAAAATCCAGCGAGCAAGACGTCCATGATGTAGCTTGTGACGAAGCAAGGACTTGAGTGCAGAATGATCGGTTATAACAACGAAATGGGTACCATGAAGATATTGTCGGAAGTGGGATACGGACTATAGGACGGCCAGACACTCTTGTTCAGTCACTGAATAGTTGCGCTCGGCGGATGACATAATATAACTAGCATAAGAAATGACCCTTTCTCTTCCTTACAAATCTCTCTGGAAAAGAATTGCGCCAAGAGCGATTCCCGAAGCGTTCGTGAAAAGCAAAAACTCTTTTGAAAAATTAGGGTAGGCAAGGACGGGGGCCGTGGTGAGCTTTTCTTTTAAGGCCTGAAAGGCAGTTTTCTGTTTGGACGACTATAGATACTTGACGTTCTTTTTAAGAAGGAGATGAAGTGGGGCAGTGATCTTTGAAAAGTTGTGAATGAACTTTCGATAGTAAGACGCCAGGCCCAGAAATCCTCGCAACTGTCGCAGGGTGGTAGGTACAGGAAAGCTATGAACAGCTTCCACCTTTCGGGGTCAGTAGATACACTGTCGAGGCTAACAACATAGTCTAAAAATTTAAGTTCCCTTTTTGCAAAGTGGCATTTCTTTGGATTTAAACGTAATCCTGCAGCCCATAATCGAGAGAAAACCTCAGCTAGGTGAAAAAGATGAGCGTCGAAGGAAGGGGAGAAAATATTGATGTCGTCTAAATATACGACGACAAAAATTCCGTTGATGTCGCGAAAGATTCGATCTATAAGGTGCTGAAATATAGCTAGGGCATTAGTAAGCCCAAAAGGCATAACATTAAACTCATAAAGGCTATACTGAGAGATGAAGGCCGTCTTTTCACGATCTTTAGAGTCCATCTCAATTTGCCAATATCCACTAGCAAGGTCCAGCAAGTATACCATGAGGAATTACTGAGAGTGTCAAGAAGATCGTCTATCCGGGGGAGAGGATAACTATCTTTTCGGTAATGGAGTTAAGTTTGTGGTAGTTGATACAGAAACGGGTTTTATCCTTCTGCTTGACTAGAACAATAGGGGAAGCCCAGGGACTCTCAGAGAGACGAATGACGTTGTCCTCGAGCATTCGATCAATCTCTTCCCTCAGGAATCTCCTTTCTCCCAGGGAAGTTCGGTATGCTCTCTGTCTGATGGGGACAACATCTCCTGTGTGGATGCAATGAGTGACCAAGTTGGTTCGTCCTAAGTCCGGTGAAGTCCATGCAAACAAATCGTCGTTATCAGAAAGCAATCCATTCATACGATCTTTCTTGTCTTCGTTCAACTCTCCAACGTCCAACTCTAAAGGGGAAGGCTCCAGTTCGTCAGAAAAAAATAGTCGGCTTCTTCAGGATCATCTTCATCGAAATCAGGAATGTCATCTTGTTCAGCTTCAAGATAATCGTCGTCACTATTTAGATCCCACCAAGCTTCTCCTACCAAACCCCCAGGTTTATTGTACTGGGACAAGACAGATTCTTCATCGGAGTCATAATAAGATCCCAAACTGATATTTTCAGGGAAGTCAAAAGGGTGTAGCGTGTGAGCAGCAGAAGCGAATTCCACCGGGATCACTTCGTCATCATTCTCTTCTAGCTCAGAGTACCCGAAGAGCTGATCGTCTAACTCTTCCTCTTCATACTCGCTACCAGATTCTTCCTCGGACCCAGAAGCTTCAACCTCTTCCTCCTCATGCTTCACGATTTC